AAAAAAAAGTATTGAGACAAAGAAAAAAGTATTGAAAAGTATTGGATTGACTAGAAAACCAATACTTTTCAATACGTTTTTCTTTGTCTCAATACTTTTTTTTTATCAGGGCTGTTGAAAATCTCCAATAGGATCCCAATCAAAAGCGACAAAAGCCACTTAGAAACCCATTAATTTTATTGGTTTCTAAGTGGCTTTTGTCGCTTTTGATTGGGATCCTATTGGAGATTTTCAACAGCCCTGATAAAAAAAAAGTATTGAGACAAAGAAAAAAGTATTGAAAAGTATTGGATTGACTAGAAAACCAATACTTTTCAATACGTTTTTCTTTGTCTCAATACTTTTTTTTTATCAGGGCTGTTGAAAATCTCCAATAGGATCCCAATCAAAAGCGACAAAAGCCACTTAGAAACCCATTAATTTTATTGGTTTCTAAGTGGCTTTTGTCGCTTTTGATTGGGATCCTATTGGAGATTTTCAACAGCCCTGATAAAAAAAAAGTATTGAGACAAAGAAAAAAGTATTGAAAAGTATTGGATTGACTAGAAAACCAATACTTTTCAATACGTTTTTCTTTGTCTCAATACTTTTTTTTATTCAGGGAGGGCTTATGAACGTGGACTTGGCGCGATTTTTTTTACAGTGAAACTGTTTTTGTTCGGATATTTATTAATTGAATTTTGATCATTGGCATTTTTAAAAACTACATGACTACTTAAAAAAGACGGTTTTTGAGTTTGATGAAGTCAAAAATATTTTAAGAACTTTCTGTACAAGTTGATTAAGTTTCAATTCAGCGTTTAATTTAAGGTTTTACTCCGCATCAGAATCGACTGTATTTCGATCATTTTTCTTTGATGATTTTTCACATCAACTAGCTGATTCATACCACCTATGTGATCGCAAAGTAAATAGACGCTTGATAACTACATAAATCTTATCAATCGTGATATCAAAAAGATAATAAACGTTCGGAGTAAATACTCTCTACGAAAAATTTAAAATAATAGTTCTCACGTTGAATTACTATGGTCAACAATAAGAATTTTTAATCGTTTTTTTTTATTACTAGATTCAATAATGTCCACCGCAGATCGTGAAAAAAAACGACGAGTTAGTTATTTTGTTGGACTAGATAATTATGATGATTCTGAAAATGAAAATGAAAATGACAAAGACAAAAAGTACGTATTAAAATTTCTGTTTGCGATTGCCAAGTTTTATTTTTTGCATTTTTTTATGTTTCAAAATAATGTACTTGATCGAGCCTTTTCGGGTTCATTTAGTAGATATTTGGCCTCAAACCCACCTAAAATGGATCAAAGTTTTTTTTTAAGAGAATATTTGTCACTGTCAAATAAAAATATTTTCGAAAAATGCGGATTTAACGAAGTTTTGAAATATTGTCTTGTAAAAGCCTGAAATCGTGAAAAGATTATTTTATCTTAGTAAAATATCGATCCATATACATCGATAAAGAAAAGATTTACCAACTTTTATTAAAATGATCCGTTTGTGAAAATTTAATTATTCAGTCTAGAGTAAAAGTTTAATATTAAAACAAAATTTATTGTCTGTTATTAATAGAATTATAACTAATTATTATGACTAATTTGTTGAAGAGAGCAAGAAGAGATTTATGGCTGGGATCTTTTTCGTTTCATTCCTTTGAAGGCCAAAACTGGATCCATGGTTGAGACACGCTTATATGAATTGTGTCTTCAAATAATTAGAGTTATAGCTTATGCAAGTATATTCACCATCATTATTGTGAGTGGAGTAATTGCAAAAACAACCATCTTATTTGCGATATCACAACTAGAACGGAAAGATAGATTAATTTATTGTGAATGTAATGAATATGGTGAGAAAACATTTAATATATCTGCAGAAAAATACGAATATTACGGGGGTATTCAAGTGTAGAGGTATAAATTTTTAGTATTTTTTGTGCCGAAAAAAAAGGCGAACAATATTTTAACTATGCATTTTTTATACGATATTTATTGATATTTTAAGAATACACAGAAAACAATCTGGAAAAACGGTTGACCCTGTAGGCCATCCCTGAAACTTCTTGCTATGTACAAAACGTATGAGAAATTGTCTATTCCGGTTTTGAGCTCTTCGAGCTCTAAAACACGACTTACATACTTTTTCGAGTTCGAAAATTTAGTGGTTGTTCCATACATGATTATATATGGAAATGTATATGAGGTTATATATAATCATATATAATTATATATGTCTATATATGGAGCAATATCCAGCCAAGCAAGATAATATATAGTTATATATAATCATACATACATGATTATACATGGAATTGTATATGAGGTTATATATAATCATATATAATTATATATGACTATATATGGAGCAATATACAGCGAAGCAAGATTATATATAGTTATATATAATCATACATGATTACATATGGAATTGTATATGAGGTCATATATAATCATATATAATTATATATGACTATATATGGAGCAATGTACAGCCATGCAAGATTGTATATAGTCTCATATATAATTATATATAATTATATATGTTTATATATAATTAACATACATCAAAATGTTTTCTTTAAAAAAAAATTAGAAAAACGGTTCACCCTAAAGGCCATCCCTGCAACTCCCCGCTCATTTTGTATTTAAACGCTTCAAACTACACATTACGTTTTTGAGCTCTTCGATCTCAAAATTCTAATAGCAGTTTAAAGACACAATTTTTTTAATTTTCAAACGGCAATAACTTTTGAATGAATGAACCGATTTTCACGCGGTTGGCGGCAATCGACGCAGTTTTTGAAGCTCCATGAAAAATTTTCAAGTTTAAATCGATCGAGCCATGAATTTCGAAGTTATTACAAAAAAACACTTTTTTCGATTTTTTTCGACGGCGATATCTTACGAACGCATCAACCGATTCTAACGTTTTTGGTGGCGATCGATGAGGGTTTTCAAGGTTAAGAGCTGATTAGTTTTTGAGACCGATCGGTTCAGCCAATTCAGAGATATTTAAAAAAAATAAAAAAAAAACAACTTTTTTTTTCACTTTTTTTGCATTTTCTCGAAATCTACGGGTCCGAATCGGCTCAAATTTTCAGGAAATCTAAGTTTAGTGAAGCCCTTTCGAATGACACCAACCGCGATGAAATCGGTCGAGTCGTTCAGAAGTTACAAGAGGTTTACACACATACACACACACAGCAGGAGACTACTGCTATCATCTGTAGTCACATCAGTGCTCACTTACGGAATATCTATCTGGGCAGACGCACTAGAAAAGCAAGAATCATGGAGAAGGGCTGGACCAGTCTACCGTCTGAGTGTCTTAAGAGTAGCAAGCGCCTTCCGCACAATATCTATGGAAGCAGTGTGTGTCATTTCCGGAACTTTGCCTCTCGGAATCTTAGCTGAGGAAAGACGGATCCTTTACCAACGAAAGAAGTCGACCACACTAAGCGCTGAGGAGCTTGGAACAGAAGAGCGGCAGAAATTTGAGATAATAGTATTTGCAGTGGATATCATTTATGATTAGCACCAAGCATCAATATTTGATTCATGTAGTATTGAACATAATTAACGAACCTAAACCGATTCTTCTTATTTTCTTCTTAAATTTAAAGTAAAACAATTTCTTAAACATCCTTACAAACTAGATTCTAGAGTACAAACAATGTAATATTAGATCATTTTAAGATCATTGCACTTGTACTTAAGATCATCAATGATTATCATCAAGTACTCATCTACTTACTGAAGAACCAATACTCCTTTTTTTTTTTCAAATATTTAAAATAAATCAGATATGTGTCAGAACGTCAACTACTTAAGATCTAAAATATAAATAAGACAATAATAGAGATATAAATTTATATTTTGATCTTTAAGCTTGACGAATTTCCAGATTTTTCTTGTGTGCATTTCTGATTTCCGTAAGTTTCTGACCTATACTTTTCTCAATAGTTTTAACATCCTGAGCCGTCCAATGTTTTTCCCGAGCTATTTCTTGAGCATACGCTGAAAAAGAAATAAGCTCTTATTATTCTATTTACTTAGATACATTACTTTCTTCTTTCAAAAAATATTTTTACTTTGTTACTGAAACATTATTTTAAATTGTGTATAGTTTAAATTATAATTACAAAATCTTATATTAAATTGAAAAAATAAAAAAATTAACCAGTGTCGAATTTATTTACTGAAAAAGACACTTACCAACGATGGCATCTTTGGCACCTCCATGCAACGGTAAAACGTTTGGATCTTTCTTCCCCCTCATTGCCTTTCCGGTTAAAGTGCTGCGTTGTAAGATTTCTGCTTTTATCACCCCTTCTAATAGTTGTCGTGCAAGGTGCGATGCTTGAGAAGATGTACGTTTTGCTGTATCTAACACGGTCTTTTTCACGTAAATGTTATTTTTTAACAGGACCATCTAGGAAGATAAATATAAAAAATTGAGAGAAAGATTAAATTAATTTTATCAGATATTTTCTAACTTTGAATTCCTTACATCGGCACTCGCAACGCCCAAGAGATGATCATCATTGTCTAAACTTGATTGTTGAACTTCTGACTCCCTGTCATTGTTACCCTAGCGGATTCTTGGTGACGGTCAAACTTCGGTCAAACGACGGTGAATTCACCGTGAATTCACTTCACCGATGAAAGAAAGTCTATTGGTGGTCGAACAACCGTCGTTCGAAGGTGAAAAATAAGTGAAGTTGTAAAATGTTCTGACGGTGATTGCATGGTTCATACAGTGAACATTCACAAGATTTTCTCGATTTTTTTCCCACCCAATAACGATGATTTTCCGACCTCTTGATCGTTTTCAGACATAGATACAATAGTGAATGACTAGTAAAAATTCGGTGAACAAAGAGTATTTCGGTGGTGAATCCACGGTAGTCTGCAAGTGAATTGCAGGTGAAATGGCGGTAAAGAAGATAGTAACGGTAAAGTAGAAATTTTATACCAGCGATCCGCATTGATAAATTGCTCGATGAAGTTTTATTTGTAAATGTAAAAAAATTTCATAAATTAATATATGGGGCTAATAAAAGATAAGTAATTAGTTAATAAAAATAATTTGAAAAAGTATTCAGTAACTATAATTTTTGACATTATAAAAAAAACACCTTTTATAAATTTTTGTAAAATTTGAGGATTTTTTGTTTTATGAAATATTAAATTTAACATATGGGCTCATGAAATAAAAAAAAAGTTTTTTTTTGATTAATAAAATTTAATGCATTTATTTTGGGTGACAAATTCACAGAATGATTTATTATTTAGAATTCATGGAATAGAAATAATTATCAAAACTAAATTAAGTATCCGTAAAATACATGGTGATTAAAATGCATCTTTAATACAAGTCTGGGATAGCATAACAGGAAAATCCCTCGACTTTCAAACTGATGAGTCGAGTTCGATCCCCGATGACGAAGTTATTTTACAATTAATTTTTTTTTTTTTTTTTTTAATATTATCGTATAGGCGAACATTTTACGAGCTTAATATCGATTATTCTAGGTGAATGCACCTATTTTCTTTCATCGGATTCCTACGATGACACGGTGAAACGACCGCAATGAGCTAGTTGTTTGCCAGTTATATGCGGGTGAATTGATGGTGAAATGTCGATCAAATCACCGTAAATTCATCCGCAGAAAAAGGTATTTCTCGGATCTACAGTCGGTAAATCAATCGTCAAAAACGTTCACAATGACACCTGATATAGACCGTCAAATCACTTCATATAGACTAATGTTTGACCAATGCTTGACCGTGAATTGACCATATTATAACCGTAGCGGTGAAACCGCTAGGGTATCCAGCTCTTTATAACAATGAAATTTAAAATATTCATTATTTATTTTTTTGCTTAAGTACTACTAATAGTTAAAAGAATAAAGCAGCTCATAAACTTACCATCATTTTTCGTACTTCCCAGTGTAGAGTTTCCACTAGCCGAAGGCGAATGAGTCTTTGAGGATGTATTTTTTCCCTCTTTAGGTGGAGAGTTTTTCTTGTTAACGGCCGAACGATCGGATGAATCGTCTCTACGACTAGAGTGTTTATCTACCTTTCCAGTACATTTTGGTTTTTCAAGATTTTCAGTTGAATCTTCTAATGAACTAATGTCGGACACTTCATCCTTTTTAGATTTACTATCATCTTCCTAGTTTTCACTAGATGAACTGGACTCATCTTTTTTTAACTTTTTTGATTTCTATATTTAAAATTAATAAACAAAATCATTAAAAGTAGAAATAATATTCAAACAATTTCCCGAGTGTGAATCTATGAGACAGAATCAATTTTTTCTTCATAAAAAGAATAAATAAAATAATTAAAAATTTTTAATTTTTGAAAAAATGCACTTGGAGATTTTTAAATTTCCTATTGTGCATTTTTATATTTTTCAATAATTTCCGTTCTATGTATTTTTTTTTTTTTCCATAAAAAACTATCTATCTTTTTTTTTTTTTTTTTTTTACTAATAAAAACTATCTTTTTTTTTTTTGTATGCTGGAGATATAAATAGATTCTTGGTTCGGTCTTTAATCTTCGCTTAAGAAGATGATCCTTGTAGCTTCAATGGAGGTTATACCAGAAAATAGCGATTCTCATTCATGCGCTTCTATTAAATTAATTATTGTGAAGAAATCAGCTGACATCTGTCAATTTTTTTTTTTTAACTCAAATTCATTATTGAAAAAAAATATTATGAAAATTAATGTAGCAGATATTTGATAAGTTTTTTTAGAAATAAATTATTGCAAAAAAATATTAGAAAAAAAAATTGACTTGTAGAAATTTAAAATAATTAAAAATGCAATTTTTTAAAAATAATTTTTCAAAACAAATTTGATTGTTAAATAAAATTAAACAATGGTCAAGTAACTG